CATACCTCCCAGCGGCCAGTAAGATCCCACAGATTGGGCCTCCTTCATATGCCGTCAGCCAGACAGTGTCGGCTGGCGGGGCCCCGGGGGAGAGCCTTCTCTGCGGCTGCTCTCAATCTTTGGAATCAGCTAACCCCAGAGATCCGAACCCTACCCACTCTCATTGCCTTCAGGAAAGCTGTAAAAACCTGGCTGTTCCGGCAGGCCTGGGGCTGTTGACCTCATTGTTGAGGTCCAGCCCCGATTAGAACGAATGCATGTGTTGTGATTTTTCTTATTTTCTTTTTCTTCTTTCTTCTTTTGTAAACCGCCCGGAGTCCTTCGGGATTGGGCGGCATATAAATTTTAATAATAAATAAATAAATAAATAAATAATACAGTTATGGAAACCTATTCTGATCCTGTAATTATTTGCTTCTTCAGACATGAACATGCGTATATACAACCCATTACAACAGAGACAAATGATATAGTTGCTTCTTCTTACTGTTCTACAGCTAGGAAGGAAGAGATTTATTTCAGGTAAATTAATATATTCTGCAGCAAAGGAGGAAGAAACATCCGAAGAATTCTGAAGTGAAAGGTGAAATCTAAATCTGCTTGTCTAGAGACTGGGCAGAGACAAGCAAAACCCAGGAAACCACTAAAAGAGAATATTTGTAGTCATTACCCGGGGAACTCTCATTCTAGGCAATCTGTCGGGAGCAGAAAGATTCTCTTCTCCAGGTGAGCATTTGGAAAAGGCTAGCTTTGTTTTGCCTTTATTCTTTTGCTGCCCTCTCTGGAGGAGATGGTATTTGTTCCCTGATTGCCTTCAACCAGGTAAGAAATCCATCCCAATTTGGAGAAGAGGTGGAGAATCAGAAAGAAGCAGGTATCCATGCTAATGTTGAACCTTGGCTTTTTCTAGTTTCATTTCGTGACGTTGTTTCCTTACTAGAACAATGGGCCCTATCCAACAATATGAAATTTAAAGTGGAGAAAAGCAAATTTTTACACTTAGGCAGGAAAATCCAAAGGTACAAGTACAGATTAATCGAAACCTGGCTCAAAAAAAAAGTAACTGTGAGGGGGACCTTGGAGTACTAATGGATGATCGCTTAAACATGAGTCAAACAGCCAAAAAAGTGAATGCAATCCTTGGTTGCGTAAACTAAGGGATAGAGTCAAGATAACATGAAGTATTAGTACTGCTTTATAAAACCTTAGTAAGGCCACACCTGGAATAATGCATTCAGTTTTGGTCACCACATTACAAAAAAAGATATTAAGACTTTGGAAAAACTGCAAGAGAAAAACAACTAAGACAATTAAAGGACTGGAGACTAAAACATATGAAGAACAGTTGCAGAAATTGGGTATGGTTAGTCTACTGAAAAGAAGGACTAAGGGTGACTGTTGTGGCCCGGCAGGAGCCGTTGGAGCTGCCGCCAGACTCCAACAGCGAGGGGTCTTATGAGTCGGCCCTGGAGGAGGTGGAGGACTCTGGACAGGGTGCTGACTCCGAGCAGGGCGAGGAGAGACTGGTTGGCCACCAGGTGGCCCCGGGGCCTTGGATCAGAAGGAGTGATCAGGAAAACACTTGTGAGTTGTTTCGGGATGCACGCCATCGAAGGGCTACTCGGCGACTAGAACAACTGCGTAATTATATGAGATGATTACGCTCAGCTGATGCTTATTAAGATCCTTATT